ACAGACTGAGGATGAAGCATAGAGGTGGCTGAATTATGCTGTAGGAATGTTTGAAGGGGCTGGGAAGCTGCTTGAACTAAATACAGCATAAACCTGCAAATATGTTAGAGGCAGCAAAAGTTCACCTTAAAGGTAAAATATTAACCCTGCAAATAGAGCCGCAGCTATAATAGATTGCAAAGAATCAAACAATAACCGTATTACTGTGAGTCTAACAAATGCATTCATTTTCAAATCCATTGGATTTTAACTGTGAAGTGACAAAATATTTAAAAAAAAATACAAGGTCTCCGAACGCTTTTTTGCAAGTCGATGGAATCAAAATCTCAAAAACTGAACGGACCAAACCTGCGTCAGCTTTAACTTTTCTAAGCTTATAAGAGCCAGATCTGCTAGCCCCTGCATCCAAAACAACCTTCCAACAGCACATAGATCTCTGCATGGATAAAAAAGTAAACAGCACAGAGAAATGGAGACCATTCTTTATGAAAGAAGTTTCCCCCTCTCCCTCTCCTGTCCTCCACATGGGAGAGATATTAGGCGTTTGTGTTTTAAGGAGCTGTGAAATACATAAACCATGAGCCCCAGGAACGCGAGACCCTGTGGATATGCAGATGGGCTTACTTTGCTAGTGTCAGGGATGCTTAGAGGGAGCAGACGCAGGAGCAGTTCTCATCTAAAGGATTTTCTTAGGAGTGCAGGGGGACAGGGTGGTGGCAGCAGAGAACACCCGGGAGACTTGGAAAAACAGAGTGGGAGGAGGGAGAGAGGAGGATAGAGAGAGAAGCAGAGAGAAAACTGACAGTCCCCTGAGGCCTTGTAACTATATCCAGAGTCTGCATGGTGCTCTGAGAGGGGTGGGGGCGCCACAACGGGCCTTGCTGATTGGGCAGGGCTGGGGGGGGCAAGAGGAAGTGACCTCAGACCAATGAGGCATCTATAGGGGTGAGGAAGCTGACTTCCTCCCTTGGCTCTCACTAAGAAACAGGCTGCCAGCCTAATTCAGCCTCTGCTACTTTACAAAATACAAACACAGTCCTCAAAGCTGTATTGCCGATAACATAACACTCCGTAATAACTAAGACTCTCACTTTATTATTACCTAATCTGTGTTTTCTGCCTTTTGATCACAAGGTAATCAAATTCACTATTATTATCATCTTGAATTTGAAATTATGTTTAACAAATGATTAATTTGCCATAATATTGAGTAAGGATAGTTTTTTCTTTAAACCCTTCTATACTGCTGTGGTTCGCATTTATGTAACTCTCTTGTGTACCTTTCCATTTCATACTTAGAGGTCAGTTATGTGATAATTCCTGCAACTCTAAGTACCAGTATGTGATTAATGAAGGACATAAGCTGACTCTTTCAGGTGTGGGATGTATTTGCCAAAACTTTGCATCAATCTGCACCAACCTGTTAGATAATTTGTACATTCCTAATTGATATTTGGTAAGTGCATGAAAAGTATTATAAAACTCCAAAAACATTTCAAATAAAAAGTCGAAAGGTAATTTGTATCTCGAAATAAGGACCTTTTTATTTTAATAACCATTTGTACTAACCAGAATGGCCACTGCTTTGGTAAGATTATGTTGTAGATATAATAAATATGGTGGAAGAAACAGAATGTGGAGTGACTATTAGCAGTGACATATGCCAATGGTTATTATTGTTCTCAAACTATTTAATGGAAAATACATCAAGCTGTAGACCATTCTTTTAAACATAATTGTAAATAATGCTTGTCCTTTAAGAGAAGTGCCCCAAATTTTCTACCTTCATCTCCCCCTAATGCACCTGCTTACAGATATGAACATTGCACAAGGTCAGTCATGCAGGTGCGGAGTTATCTGCATAACAAGGCAGACCAGGTCTCCAAAGGGACAGTTTTGTGTACAAGGGTCAAAATGAGGTCTGTGCATATGCTGGAGAGGCAGATACACATCAGCTGCAGCAAACTTGACCTTAAGTCTGCACACCCTAACACAGATAGGCAAATCGGGCCGTGATCAAAGAGAATGGTGATCCTCTTTCGCTGCCTGGATGCACTTGTTCCGCTCTTTCTAACCCCTAGCCCCCCACCCCTCCTGTTTTCCTGATACCTGGTGCTACACTCAGATGCACAAGTAGGGTACAGAGTAACTCATCTGTCAAATACATGGTTGCAGAAAACACTAAATCAACTCCCTCTCTCTCAAGCTACTTTAAGCTGCTTTGATCGGCTTTTGCGTGCCATGCAGAGATGTTGACTACGGGCACATGAAGATATATGCTGCTTACTCCATGTTTCAGTGAAGCATATATATTGTGTGATTTTGAGTGTAAGGTAAAGATTTATATTAGTTTGAAAGGAAATGTAGTGGCTGGGACTACGTTGTAAAAGTTGAATATTTTCTTTTTTTTTCTAGCGCTACAGGGAATGTTTCAATCCCCTTCATTTGATGGAGTATTAATGATCACTGGGTTGAAGTTGTCACATGTACTTACTCTCAAATTGAAGGCAAAGAAGCTGAGATAGCAGTTATATTTCTTAAGATGCCATTACTTTGTCGGATGTAATAGTCATAAAGAAAAGAAGAGAAAAGGAAAATAGAAGAGGAAAATACAAATTTGGTAATGAATAAATGCATACTGTATATATATATATATATTAGTGCTGTCAATCGATAAAATTTTTTAATCGCGATTAATCGCATAAATGCCTGAGTTAACTCGCGATTAATCGCATTTTAATCGCACATTTTTTTCCTGATTGAAAATCATTTAAATACTCTCGATGACATACAAAAAAATACATACAGGCTAGGTTTGTGCCAATGTTCTTTTTTTAAAATGAAAACAGGTCACAGATACTGATTTATGCCATAGAAACATATGGCAAGAAGATGGGGAGGCATGTAGCAAAAAATAACAAATATGTAGGCAAAAAAAAGGCCCTGAAAACAGGCTGATGTAAAAGACAGTCTTTACAGTTAATACAGTCTTTTGAACAAAGACAAGCATTTTACCCTACTGCTATAAAATTTAGTAGAGTTAACATTAGATGTTAATTAACCAAGGTAATAATGAACAATTTTCAATCAATACATCAAAATCAATAGACCGACATCACTAGATGAAGGTAGTCTATGCTCTCTAGAAAGTTACTTTTCAGCCTCTTAACAAAAATGAGAACACACACACACCCACTCACCCACACACAGACACACCCACCCACACACACACACACGCGATACCGACCTGTTGCGTACACAGACGGCAAGAGTGCTGCTACGAGATTCCATTTCACCTCAGTAATCAGTTTTCTCAGCGTATTTCAGGTTGCTACTACACTCAACTTGTTTGTTGGTGGTGGGGCTTAAAGAAAAGGCACTAGCGTCACCCAGTGTATGAGCGTCTTTTTCCCTTGAGGAGCTCCGCTCTAGAAGCCTATGAGAAATGCATAGACTGGGGGAAAATAGCCCCGCCTTCCCGCAGGCTGCAGCGGGATGTACTTGGAAAAATTGTACCATAAAACCACATAGCGTTAATCTCACGTTAAAAAAATTATCGCCGTTAAAATGGCCTCGCGTTAACGCGTTAATAACGCGATAATTTTGACAGCACTAATATATATATATATATATATATATATATATATATATATATATATATATATATATATATATATATATATATATATATATATATATATATATATATATATATATATATATATATATATATATTAATAAATAAAAATACACCAGCCCACCTTTAAATCCTGTTATACTACATTACAAATTAGATATTATGTTTTACATCTAACATTGCTATTGTCTCATTTTGTATTGCTTAGTTTTACCAAGTTTGGCTGATGATACAGACTATAAACCTTCAGCTTGGACTCAGCCATGTACAGCTGTTCAGTTTGATTCTATATACATGAATAGATATACACGTGGTGAGCAGTGAGCTGTGGAGACTAGAGGATAGACCTTAGATGAGCCCCTGAGGTATCCATTTTTACCCCCAAACCTGTAATGATCACCTCTGCCAGGAGTTTGATGGTGGACAGTCTGGCCCTGTGGCAGTATAAAACCATTTTATTGACACAGTGAAAACGATCACTTTCCTACAAATCTGATTCAGCGGGCCAATCCAAATAAAAGTGCATACTGTAGATCAGAGTTGTGGCATTTTGTTAAGTGCTTGTTAATGTTTTTGAACTATACAGTATGGGTTTCTTTGCCAGTACACCAGCTGTCATGTAGCATCTTATTGTGTTTTTAGCATTAAACAAATCATTATTTTGTTCTTTATTACATGGTATTTCATATGCTAAGTCTTTGAACAATGCTTATAAATAAAACATTTTCATGTCTCTGGTGCCTGCATCTAAATCTTACAACCAAAGATGATTAATTTAATTAAAATTGCTTGAGACATCAAGTTAACTGAAAAGTAAAAGAATGGTGATAAAACTATGTTTTTATCCCAATTAATATACTTTACAATAATACTTATATATATAATTCGGCATTATATGTACAGTCGTCCTAGTTGTAAAGTTGGAGATTGCTGATATGAAAATAAGGGTCAAGAAAGTAAAAAATCTGTATTTCACTGTAATACTGACTCTTCCAAAGCCATTTCTTCATTTACTCCTAATTCTGTTATTTTAATTAGAACATTCTAAAAATAAATGATTGTTCATGCAAGTTAATCATAAAAGGTGACGTCCGCCATGTTTTTCAGCAATAACAATTAAGGCCCCAACTGGTTGTCCAATTAGTGTCTGATTAGAAAGGGTCACATGTTTTTTTTTTTTTTTTTTTTCCGTTTGAACCATGAAAAGTCAAAGAAATTAAGAGTTTTAATTTCATATGAAGAGAAATGTTGGTGTTATGGTTAAGACCAGAGAGAGACCTTTTGCTGCTCCCTGGCCATTCATGCTCGGTTTATTTTTCCACTCATGGTTTCTCTATGTGTTTGTGTTGTTTCTTCTCCACAGAGGAAGGACTGAACCATGAATGCAAGCTCTGTAGTCAGTCATTCGACTCACCGGCGAAGCTTCAATGCCACCTGATTGAACACAGCTTTGAGGGCATGGGTGGAACCTTTAAGTGTCCAGTCTGCTTTACAGGTTTGTACCGTGCCTTGAGATTAAATCCAGTAAAATAAGACAAAATAACAAGAGGAAATATAAATTGTAAATTTGTTATTGGTAATATGATATATTAAGGCAGTATCCTGCAAAACGGGATATCTGGCAGATAGATTAGCACCAAGTAGAGTAATATAATGAGATGTGGATATATCTTTAGGATTTGTTTTATATTAGCAGTATAACAAAAGTAAGTTTATTTATGAAACCCTGAATCAATTCTTTGTAAAAATCAATTTTGCTACAATTACACCTGCAAGTCTTCATTCATGTATTCATGTTAACATCTAGGGAACTTTTTCTATACTTCTCTTTGATAAAATAGGACAAATATGCTGATATTATAACAATTTTGAAACATTTTCACACATTCCTCAGATTAAGATCACTCTAAGAAATAAATAGGAAAATATTGCTAACCGTGGATAGTTGATGTAGCTGTGTTTTTAAGGTTGTCCTGCAGGAAAGTTGAACCTCTACTCCAGAACTGAGGTATTTGCTGACTTTATCGGGCTTTTGTTTCTTACATTTGTTCCCATTTATTGGTCCATCTCCTGTTGAAATAAAGCATTTCCCACGTCATGATGCTGGCACTACTATGTTTCAGAAAATGAATGGAAGGGTCAGGTTGATATGAATTGCTAGTTTCCCTCCACACAGTTTTTTTTATGTAGACCTTAAAGAACATTCTATGTTCGTTGTTTACTGGGTCGCTATATGATTTTTTTTTTTTATTTTTTTTTTTATACTGTTTTATATCTTTTAGATTATCACTTTAAAAACAATTAAAAGCCTTGTATCTATCTGAATCCCAGTTATATTCTATTTTGAGGTGCTTTCTTACATAGCATCCCTAAGAGATACATTGAAAGTTGTGATCATAACGTGAAAAACTTCAAGGGATATAAATATGTTTTCTTGGCCGCATTGCTTTTAATCGAGTCTTGAAAGGTCAAGCAGGCAAGCCGGATAAAGCTGATAGCAGTTTGCACCATGTGGCTTTTGTTTCGTCAAATTGCCTCTGTCAGTGAGCCCCAGGGCAGCTGTGGCTACAATGTAGCTTGCCACCATCAGTGTGTGAGTGTGTGTGTGTGAATGGGTGAATGAATGTAGTGTAAAGCGCTTTGGTCAAGTCTCCTAACTTGAATAAATGCGCTATATAAGTACATGCCATTTACCATTTACCAAAACCAAGGCCAAAGAAGTGTCACAAGGTGAGCGGGGGGAGACAGAAAGAGTGCAGGGGGGAAAACAGTGTGAGTTGAACGGAGATTGGGGGATGGAGGAGCGGAGAAAGAAAGGGAGATGTGCTAATTGTGGATGGCAGTGGTGCTGATAGCTGTAATGATCTCATCTGTCTCTGTACGTGGAGGTGGAAGGACCGGACTCCTCCTGAGAGAATAGCGCCCTCCTTCAGTGTCAACAGGGTTAACTATCTCTATAATGAAATCTGCAAAGTCGTTAACTTCGGCTCTTCACTCTTTCTCCCATCTCAGCTCTTTACTCTTCCTACCACTTTTTGGGTCCAGCTCATTTCCTCCTCCTACTTTCTTTAACCCCTCCAGCCCCCTCCCCATATTAATCCATCCTTTGCACAATAAACTCATTTGCCTTATTTCTACCTTTTAAATCAGTTGGCATCATTAGTTCACATTCTGCATCTTTTCTCCTCCTGTACATCTTCATCTACCTCAGTTCACAACATTCTTGTCTGCACCCCTCTCCCTCTACTCTACATAGCTGTTTTGGCCTTATCTCTTTTTTTAGAAGAAGCCTATTGATATTTCCCTCCACCACGGAACTCCTCTCCCTCCACCCCTCACAGGGGTCTGGGCATTTAATATACAGAGCATGCCTCCTTCATCTGAGCCTTCATTTTCCTCCGCTGTCTTTGACAGACAGGTCCCCCCCACTCCCTTAGCGTCCATATCGATCACGACACATGAGAGAGAGGAAGAAGAGAGGGAGGGATGCTCGGAGGAAGGGAAGGGGAAGGAGGTAGAGACAGAGTGCCCCCTCAGGACAGCGGTCGCAGAGCAGACAGACAGATGGGCGAAGAGGCCTATGGTAGCCAGGAAGACGTGCAGAGGAGAGTGCTGGATAAACTGAAAGGCCTCCCTCTGTTGGGGATGCGGGGGACAGGCAAGCTGAGCTAAAGTCAGAGCGCTTGGAGGGAACAGAGCAATTGAGAGATTAGCTGACAGCTGTCCTTGAATATATTTCTTCAAGCTGAGTTTTAAAAAATCAAAGCGAAGAAGACATTTGTCACCAATTTAGCTGAACAGAAACTTTACTCTAAAACTTTCTTACAGTCACACACGTCCACTAGGTTCTTATTCAACACTTTAATATATTTTTAACAATTTTATTCAATTATTTTACAGGAGGATAACTTTTTCGAGCCCTCAATGCCAGTGGTCATCTTTTTCAGTGGCTGTTTAACATGCCTTTTAAAATCTTTACTCCTCGAAAGCCACATTTGATCATGTTCAACAGAAATTTATTTGCACTTTTGAAGGTTATGCGACAGACCAACACAAAGTAGGCCATAAATGAAACGTGGAAGAAAAATGCTACATCATTCATTCAGTCAAAAATACGACATATTTTAGTATTTAGCTGCAAATGTGTTTCACACATTTGAAATTCCAGACTTAAAGCAATATGTTGTCAAAAACTGTACTTATCTGCTACAAGATTAAAAGGCTTTTGTTTATTTAAGTAGTGACCTTTTTGCCCAAAATGTGGTCTGGAACTATGTTATGAGTGCATGATAGTCATGTATTAAGGATAGCAGCTTGATTGATATAGTAGAACATTGATAATTTATAAAGGTAAATTATATAATGCAAGCACACATTTTGTGACCAAGTTCCAGAACCACTACAAATTCCTCTAAATTTTAAGTACTTTAAAACAACCCCATATGTAATTTTTGCCATGCTGAATAATTCTCTACTCGCGTTTACATTGAGTGGATCGATTTGAGTGCAGTATTTAACCTGTACCAGAACTATTGCATGCACTGGCTGCTAAATGCATTATTTTGCCCATTTAAAAAGTGTGTTGGGTAGATGTAATGAGTCCAGACATGAAAGCAAAACTTTGATCAAACTAGGTGGTGACGGGGCTGTTGAGCTCGCTTTTTAACAAGGTTCCTCTTTGTTTAAAAACCCATTCCCCCTCCAGAGCACATGTTTCAGTTTGATCTCCCCCCCTTGTGACCCCAAACGCACTGGGAGGGAGCGAGTGATTGTCATTCTTTCTATATACCTGATTATCCTGAATCCAAACATCCGGAGTTGAAGTAGTGATAGGACTGCCTTGCACTGAAAAACAAGACCGGAAAAAAAGTATTAGGGAAAGTAAGTTAAAGATAGTAGATGAGGACAGATGAATGTAGAGGAGAAAAGGAGAAAAAACTTAAAGGAAGCTGAGAAGGTTGCAACTGGCAAGTTTGGATGTGAGATGAAAGGAGGGATGTGGAGGAGGAAAAGAGAGCTGTGTAAGGGAGGGAGGGTAAATGGAGAGAGGTCCATAAGCCCCTGGATGATGAGAGAGAGGCTGACTCTCCCAGGACAGATTTGACAGGTTTCAGAAGTGGGGGAGCCTGCAGCTAGAAGTGTCTGCCTGCACCCTTAGGAGCTGTAGGAAGGGCTGGTGTGGAAATTGTGATTGGGAATATGTGCTTAAGACAAACAAAACAGAAGAAAGTGTGTCTGATGAAAGTCCTGGATGTGTGTGTTTGTGTATGTGTGTGCATTTTTTTTTCCCACTTATGTCACCGCATGAGGAACAAACTTGAATAACTACAGGAAGCAATGCCTTAAAATCCACACTAGTGTGACAAATAAGGTAGTTTAATTAGCTTGTTATTTAGATGCAGCTCTTATGCTGCTGTGTGAAGTTGGGATTATGACAACTTGGACAAAAAAAAAGCAGAAAGTAATGAACAAAGATTTAACGTTAAACTCCAACCTATCTGAGAACAACCCAAATCGACTCACAATTCATTTGTATTTGCCACAGAACACTCAAATATTTCATGTTGTGATTTCTCAAATTAATACACTACACATATAAATAAATGAAATGGAGAGTGGAAGATGGGGGGGAAAAGGATAAACTTATTTGTCCTCCCTGCACAAACAGCTTAGTATTGGTGCAGTGCAGCCTGCAGAGAGCACCACCCTGCCAAAATAAAGATGAGCTGGGGCCTGTAGTAAAGGAAAAGTCTGCCATGCACGGCCCCTGAGATCTAATCAGAGGGCTTAATATCCCCCACAGCGAGGAGACCTTGGCCCCTCAGCCCCCTCAGCACTGACACCCCTGATGCCCAGCCCAGCTCAGCGCTCACTGCTGCTCTATGCAGCATGTCTCTGCTTTGGCTCCGTGGCCAACAAACTCCACAAAGTTCGCTCTCTTCTCTTGCAATCTCAGCAGGGTGAGACACAATAGCCAGGCGCTGGTCCTGTTTGGATGTGTTTTTTGGATGATTTCTTCCCAGATGTCCCTGCCCCCTCACCACTAAGAAGGCAATGTTGTCACATATTATTTATATTGTTCATTCTGCCGAAACAGGATTCCATCGATGTTCATTTTAGCTTATTCTGAAATTACAATAATTTACCATTATCGTAATTGTAAAAATTATAATCTTTTCAATCTGGAAATAAAATTGCGACAAGAAATGATTCTAAATGAAATAAGTAGTAGTTGTACTATATGGTTTACAGAGTGCTTTAAGTAAAAAAAAAAAAAAAAAAAAAAAAAAAGGTACTAGTGCTCTTCTCGCTGCTATACAAATATGCAGCAGAAACCTGAGTAGTATTTTTGTAAGGATCTGTCTACCACAAATAAATATCCCCTCAGGGAAAATAAAGTATTTCAATTCAGTTCTTTCGATCTATAGCTTTAATTATAAAGAGAAGAAAAAAAGATTCAAATTGCTATAAGCCAAATTCAAAGTGTCATGAAGG